GTATGGTGATGGTGAGTGTTTAGTGTTTGGGTAATGGTGAGTGTTTGGTATATGGGTGATGGTGTTTAGTGTATGGTAATGGTGAGTGTTTGTTTAGTGTATGGTGATGGTGTTTAGTGTATGGTGATGGTGAGTGTTTAGTGTAAAGTGATGGAGAGGTGTTTAGTGTATGGTGAGTAGTGTTTAGTGTAAGGGTAATGTATATGGTGATAGTAGTGTTTAGTGTATGGTATGGTGTTTAGTGTGTATGGTGATGGTGTTTAGTGTATGAGTGATGGTGTTTAGTGCATTATGGTGATGATGGTAGTGTTTAGTGTATGGTGATGGTGAGTGTTTAGTGTATTTAGTGATGGTGAGTGTTTAGTGTAGTAATGATGGTGAGTGTTTAGTGTATGGGTAATGAGTGAGTGTTTAGTGTGTATGGTGATGGTGAGTGTTTAGTGTATGGGTGATGGTGTTTAGTGTATGGTGATGGTGTTTAGTGTATTGGTGATGGTGAGTGTTTAGTGTATTAGTGTGAGTGTATGATGTGAGTGTTTGGTATATAGGTGGTGAGTGTTTAGTGTTTATGTGTATGGTAATGGTGAGTGTTTAGTGTATTGGTGATGGTGTTTAGTGTATGGTGATGGTGAGTGTTTGAGTGTATTAGTGTGTTTGGTGATGGTGAGTGTTTGGTGTATAGTGAGTGTTTAGTGTATATGGTGATGGTGAGTGTTTGAGAGTAATTTAGTGATGGTGAGTGTTTAGTGTATGGTGATTTGAGAGTGTTTAGTGTATAGTCATTAGTCAGTGTATGGTGGGTGAGTGTTTGTTGTACAATAGTGTGTGGTGATGGTGTTTAGTGTATGGTGATGAGTGTTTAGTGTATGGTGATAGTGAAGTGTTAAGTGTATGATGTGATGCTGAGTGTTTAGTGTTGGTGTATGGTAGTGAAAGGTAGTGTTTAGTGTACTGAGTGTATGTGGTAAGGTGTTTAAGTATGGTGATGGTGTTTAGTGTCATGTATGGTGAGTGAGTGTTTAGTGTATGGTGATGGTGAGTGTTTGATGTATGAGTGATGGTGAGTGTTTAGTGTATAGGGTGATGGTGAGTGTTTAGTGTATGGTGATGGTTGAGTGTTTAGTGTATGGTGATGGTGAGTGTTTGAGTGTATGGTGATGGTGTTTAGTGTATGGTGTGGTGAGTGTTTAGTGAGTGGTGTTTAGTGTAGTGATAGTGTATGGTGAGTGTTTAATTTAGTGTAGGTGGGTGATGGTGAGTGTTTAGTGGTGAGTGATTTGTGTAGTGTGTGGATGATGATGGTGTCTAGTGTATGGTAATGGTGAGTGTTTAGTGTATTGGTGATGGTTTAGTGTTTAGTGATGGTGAGTGTTTAGTGTATAGTGGTAATGGTGAGTGTTTAGTATATGGGTGATGGTGTTTTAGTTTAGTGTGGTGAGTGTATAGTGATGTGAGTGTTTAGTGTATGGTGATGTGTGAGTGTTTAGTGTATGGTGATGGTGATGGTGAGTGTTTTAGTGTATGGGTGATGGTGAGTGTTTAGTGTATGGGTGATGGTGAGTGTTTAGTGTATGGTGATGGTTAGTGTTTAGTGTATGGTGATGGTGTTTAGTGTATGGTGATGGTGTTTAGTGTATGGTGATGGTGATTGAGTGTATATGGTGATGGTGAGTGTTTAGTGTATGGTGATGGTGAGTGTTTAGTGTATGGGTAATGGTGAGTGTTTAGTGTATGGGTGATGGTGTTTAGTGTATGGTGATGGTGAGTGTTTAGTGTATGGTGATGGTGAGTGTTTAGTGTATGGGGTGATGGTGAGTGTTTAGTGTATGGTGATGGTGAGTGTTTAGTGTATGGTGATGGTGTTTAGTGTATGGTGATGGTGAGTGTTTAGTGAATATGGTGATGGTGAGTGTTTAGTGTATGGGTGATGGTGTTTAGTGTATGGTCATGGTGAGTGTTTAGTGTATCGATGGTGATGGTGAGTGTTTAGTGTAAGGTGATTGTGTTTAGTGTATGGTGATGGTGTTTAGTGTATTGATGATGGTGAGTGTTTAGTGTATTGGTGATGGTGTTTAGTGTATGGGGATGGTGAGTGTTTAGTGTATGGTGATGGTGAGTGTTTAGTGTATTGATGATGGTGAGTGTTTAGTGTAAGGTACTAGTGAGTGTTTAGTGTAAGGTGATTGTGAGTGTTTAGTGTATGGTGATGGTGAGTGTTTAGTGTATGGTGATGGTGAGTGTTTAGTGTATGGTGATAGGTGAGTGTTTAGTGTGTGGGTGATGGTGAGTGTTTAGTGTATTGATGATGGTGAGTGTTTAGTGTATGGGTGATGGTGAGTGTTTAGTGTATGGGTAATGGTGAGTGTTTGGTGGATGGGTGCTGGTGTTTAGTGTATGGGTGATGGTGTTTAGTGTATGGTAATGGTGTTTAGTGTTTGGTGATGGTGATAAGTGTATGGTGATGGTGAGTGTTTAGTGTATGGTGATGGTGAGTGTTTAGTGTATGGTGATGGTGAGTGTTTAGTGTATGGGTGATGGTGATTGTTTAGTGTATGGTGATGGTGAGTGTTTAGTGTATGGTGATGGTGAGTGTTTAGTGTATGGTGATGATGGTGTTTAGTGTATGGTGATGTGTGAGTGTTTAGTGTATGGTGAGTGTTGAGTGTTTAAGTGTGTAGTGAGTGTATGGTGATGGTGAGTGTTTAGTGTATGGTGATGGTGAGTGTTTAGTGTATGGTGATGGTGAGTGTATGGTGATGAGTGTTTAGTGTATGATGATGAGTGTTTAGTGTGTATGGTGTATGGTGAGTGTTTAGTGTATGGTGATGGTGAGTGTTTAGTGTATGGTGATGAGTGTTTAGTGATGGTGAGTTTAGTGTATGGTCATGGTGAGTGTTTAGTGTATCGATGGTGATGGTGAGTGTTTAGTGTAAGGTGATGGTGAGTGTTTAGTGTATGGTGATGTTTAGTGTTTAGTGTATGACGGTGATGGTGAGTGTTTAGTGTATTGGTGATGGTGAGTGTTTAGTGTATGGGTGATGGTGAGTGTTTAGTGTATATGGTGATGGTGAGTGTTTAGTGTATTGGTGATGATGTGAGTGTTTAGTGTAAGGTAATGTGTAGTGTTTAGTGTAATGGTGATTATGTGAGTGTTTAGTGTATGGTGATGGTGAGTGTTTAGTGTATGGTGATGGTGAGTGTTTGTGTTTAGTGTATGGTGATGTTTAGTGTATAGTGTGATGGTGAGTGTTGTTTAGTGTGTATGGTGATGGTGAGTGTTTAGTGTATGATGATGGTGAGTGTTTAGTGTATGGGTGATGGTGAGTGTTTAGTGTATGTGGTAATGGTGAGTGTTTGGTGTATGGGTGATAGTGGTGTTTAGTGTATGGGTGATGGTGTTTAGTGTATGGTGTATGGTGTGAGAGTGTTTAGTGTATGGTGATTATGTTTAGTGTGTAGTTGGTGGTGATGGTGAGTGTTTAGTGGATGGGTGATGGTGTTTAGTGTATGGTGATGGTGAGTGTTTAGTGTTGGTGATGGTGTTTAGTGTATATGGGATAGTGAGTGTTTAGTATGTATAGTGTCATGGTGATAGTGTTTAGTCGATGGTGATGGTGTTTAGTGTATGGAGGTGGTGAGTGTTTAGTGTATGGTGATGGTGTTTAGTGTATTGATGATGGTGAGTGTTTAGTGTATTGGTGATGGTGTTTAGTGTATGGGGATGCTGAGTGTTTAGTGTATGGTGATGGTGAGTGTTTAGTGTATTGGTGATGCTGAGTGTTTAGTGTAAGGTACTGGTGAGTGTTTAGTTTAAGGTGATTGTGAGTGTTTAGTGCGTGGTGATGGTGAGTGTTTAGTGTATGGTGGTGGTGTGTGTTTAGTGTATGGTGATGCTGAGTGTTTAGTGTGTGGGTGATGGTGAGTGTTTAGTGTATTGATGATGGTGAGTGTTTAGTGTATGGGTGATGGTGAGTGTTTAGTGTGTGGGTAATGGTGAGTGTTTGGTGGATGGGTGCTGGTGTTTAGTGTATGGGTGATGGTGTTTAGTGTATGGTGATGGTGTTTAGTGTATGGTGATTATGTTTAGTGTATTGGTGATGGTGAGTGTTTAGTGGATGGGTGATGGTGTTTAGTGTATGGTGATGGTGAGTGTTTAGAGGATTGGTGATGGTGTTTAGTGTATGGGGATGGCGAGTATTTAGAGGATTGCTGATGGTGTTTAGTGCATGGTGATGGTGTTTAGTGTATGGTGATGATGTTTAGTGTATGGTGATGATGTTTAGTGTATTCGTGATGGTGAGTGTTTAGTTGGTGGGTGATGGTGAGTGTTTAGTGTATGGTGATGGTGAGTGTTTAGAGTGTTTAGTGTATGGGGATGGTGTTTAGTGGATGGGTGATGGTGAGTGTGTAATGTATGGTGATGGTGTTTAGTGGATGGGTGATGGTGAGTGTTTAGTGTATGGTGATGGTGAGTGTTTAGTGTGTGGGTGAAGGTGAGTGTTTAATGGATGGGTGAAGGTGAGTGTTTAGTGTGTGGGTGAAGGTGAGTGTTTAGCGTATGGGTGATGGTGAGGCAAATCGTGAGTTGGGAGTTTTTTTTATCTTCCCAACATTAAGCATTATCCCAACTGCATGATGTTGACCATTACATAACACCTTGAGACAATACGTTGCCTAATATTAGAGCCACGATTACGTCGGGGTAAAAGGTCAAGCAACCTACCAAGGATGACAACCCGGTACGACCTAGTGTTTCACGGGTACCTATTCTAACCTTTTTCACTTAGTAATGACAAGTGTTCCGAAATGTTACAAAACCTATTTGTTACAACGGGGTCGGTATGATTGTTCATCTGTGCAATGTATTTATGTTACATGTATCGCTTGGTTCAAAACAGTCTCAGATAAGGTTACAGAGGATATAACACACTCGTGGTTCTACACAAATGCCGTATGAATGATAGGTTACATCAGGTCACATATAATCAAGAAGCACATACCTGCACAATGTAAGTAGGAAGACAAGGTCACCACACAAAGACAAAAGGTATTCATTATCATTTGTATGTCTATCAGCAAGAAAAACCTGGCACCCTTCAGGGAGGTCTATCGGTGAAGTAATCACGCCGTGAGCGTCTTTATCAACGCATGGTCACCCATGTATGCACGTTTGCCATACTACTTCATTCAATCAATATTCTATGCTCCATGTAATCACAATAAGCAGTATTGATAGATTATAGATATGCGTGACACAGCCAACAAACGAGCTATATATACTGGGACAACTCTACAATGTGGTGGGGAACTTTGGTCTCGTCAGTTAACATCCAATAGTCAGTTGCCAGGTACTGGATGGTATACGTTTACATGAACTCGTCACTGAAGATTGCATTCAATGTGTTTTTTAACGTTCCAATATCGATTAAATGATTAATATGGATATATTGGCCAGTTACTTATGTCACATGGTTAGAGTTGGATATTGCGTTTATGACATCGGGTATATTAATGTTTATGTGTATCAACTCATGGGTAAAATTTCAAGTACAACGGGAATTGTCTGCATGTAGTTGTATGGACCTTGATGAGCACGCGCCTGGTTATAACCACATTTCAAGACGCCAGAGTGCAATGAATACTACCATGACTTTGTACATTTTGTATCCTATATACATGTACTGTTAGAGTGATTGAAACGAGTACCATTTGTTGTGCGTATGCAATGTTTTATGTACATTAGACTACTTTATATTCATCCTAAGTATTATAGTATTGAACCTTTGGTAAATCTGATGTCTTAGAAATGTAACAATTGTACAAACATAGATCTCATAAGCAATGAAATATATATTGGGAAGTGACTTCGTGTACCCTGTGTTTGTACCTGTTCGTGTAGTGATATTTTGTTCTATCTCTGGCACAGAAAAATAAAACTGAACCACATCAAACGTCAAATATATAATTATTTATGTAGATACAACAAATAATAATGCATGGAAAATGACTTACTGGAGGAAAAGCTATGCATTGTCAGTGTGATGATTAGAATATTGTCATTGTTACATGATTCATAAAAGTGCTGGAATTGTTTCAAGCAGTAACGTGGGTTTCTCACATTGACTGTTATACAGGGTCGGCAAAACGGATTTGTTGTATGACGACACATGAAAGACATGTGGTGAAAGACACTCGATGTTGGAGCGTCTGTACCAGGTATAACCTGGGCCAACCAAAACATTATTGGTTTTACCTGTTAATAATTATTTTATTATTAATCCGATTTCACAATTCTTTCTCTGCATCATGATCAGTTGTCTTCTTTGTCTTTTTCTTCTTCCTTTTCCTTGTTTCACCTTCTGTACCTCTGCCCTCATCTTCACTCGTTTTGTCTTTCTTTCTCTTCTTTTTTTTCCTGTTCCTCTCTGTCTGCATGTATTCACTCTGGCCCGCATCTTCCACAACGATGTTGTTGCCAACGTGACCATTTAGCGCTCCTGCAGATGCTGACACAGTTGGAGATTGTGAAGATAATGTGGGCACGTCTACTGACCGAGGAGGCTGTGGAGACCTGACTGGAGGAAGTGTCTGACCAGCACTCGGTATAGTCTGCAATTTGGTATCGCCGAACTTCCTCAGTTCCGGTGGAACAGAGTCACTTGAGGAGGTGCGTTTATGTACGGTTTGTCTTGATGACTGTTGCGGAGACAGTATTCCTCGGGTTGGCGCTATCTGTGTAATTGTCTCCGGTTTCGGGCCAAAAGCATAGAGAGGCAGTCCATGATGGTCGCTGGCCTGTGTGTTACCGGATGGATGTACCTGTACAACATGCCAAGTTGTCAGGGTGATTCACTATCAATTTTACCTTATGAAATAACACACTAATAATGCAACTTGGAAAAAAACATTCCACGACGTAATGTATTGTGCAATTGATATTGCTCCGAAAACTAAATATGGCTAATGCTGAGAACAACGGACCATGAAGGCGGGGTCACTGAGAGGTGACCAACCCATGTGAACAAGCATTAAGAAACTTTATGACCACCGACCTTTGTCCGCAAGGAGTGAGTTAAAGGGTTCACAACGTGGTATGTTAAGACTAAGAAGAAAACTATGGTCATACCTACGCAATAAGCATTCAAACTCTGAAACTCATGAATAGTACACTGGAACAATGTGATACAAATGGTACATCAAGACATGGAATAATACCTTGTTCGCTCTCTTCTGTCTCCGAGATCTACATTCAAGTATTCCCGAAAACACAATCATCATGGTTAAGAGTATCCCAACGACAATCAATACGTTTATCCAGTTTTCTGAAAGTAAAGGGGAATACATATTTATGTGAAATCAATGAAACTGGACCAAAGTGAAGCTGATTTCCTCAAAAGTTGCCTTTCTTTAATCTGAGCTACTTGTATACAATGATATATTCATTTTTGCGTATCTGCTGATACTTCAAAACCTATCCCTATATACTGAGAATTAATACCCGTCATATCTCACAACATATTGGTTTAATTTGACAAATGACATTGTTCCTTGCTGTTTAGTTTCCAAATACGTCAATGAAATGAAGTTACACTCCTGAGGAAGTTCATCAGTACGAGGTTTAAAGTTAAGTTCCGAATACAGCACATATCAATTAGATATATGACTTACATATTAACTGCTGGTAATGTAGAGCATGCATGTATTGGTGTTTGACAATTAAATAACTATATATATCCAACCCAATCAATGCTAACGTGAAGTGTTTCTGAGGATGGTAGACGTCCTTTCCGACACCATGTGTGATAATGGTGTTGTCGTGGACGCTGTTGTTGTTGTTGTTGTTGTTGTTGTGTTAACGGGGCATTCGTCAACAGCCAAAGGTTCAGAAATTGCTGACGATCCACATCGAAGGTCCATGGTCGAATATGGATTTGAACCTTACGAAAGGAAGCGTATTGGGGCCGTCAGCTGAACGTTGTAAACGTTTGCAGTTAATAATATTAACATTGATAAAGACACTGATAAATGGTTTTGCTATGATACTCATGCAATTTAATCCCAACGTGCTCTGTGTCCGAGGGTATATTACAGGCTTTGAACGTCAAACTTCTATTTCAAAAGTATTTCGAATTTTTGAACAGACGTTTTTTTACCTCCTGCGCTACCTATTACCTCTAATTTCTATCCACAACTGTCCCTTGGCGCCAGTCACGACAGTAGTAAAATCCAGCACAAGGAAATAGCCGATGCTTGTGTAGACATCTGTAATAGGAAAGTGATCTCCATGGTTGTTATGGGAACAGTTAATGCTGAGATTGTCGCTTCCATCAGTGATGTTCACATGTTGATTACATGCGTTGGAGCTGTTGTTAAGGTTGAGGTGTATGACACTCAATACTATTGTTGTATTGCAGGAGGAGGAAACACTGCAAGACCCTCCTATTTCTGACGACTTAGGGTAACCTTGATTTTGTACATACACAGCGGTCCCTCTCGTTGTACCTGCTTCAGTGCTGCTTGCATTGAGGATGAGGGACCCTGGCGAGAAATGATATTAAACAAGTCAATCAATAGTTAAATTCGAACGAAAGTAAGCCACTAATATTTGATGATTAACTGCGTTTGTTCATCAGAAGATATCCTAAGATGCTCTTAACCTTCAGGAAGATAGTTGTCACTACGTCCTCTTTGGTCTTCTAAAGCTCCTGCCCCTAAGATCGTAACCCGATAGTGATATTTCTTCACCAATAATTTTCTTTACAATAACTAGGCCCAGTACGTAATCTGACGGATATGAAGTGTCGGTGAAAACCGAATCAGTACATTCACATGAAAACCGTGGTCTCATCCGAGGCAAGAAAGTTAGTTCAATAAAGCCTCTGTTCACCTACATTAACATCTAGTCCCAGGAGTAAGTCTGTCTCATTTAATAATATATATCTGCCAACAAATAAAATACAATGCCAACTTTCAGTAGCTGAGGCGATACAGACTTGCCACATCATTCTAGACTAGCGTGATATTTCTTGACTTGTCCATCCATCAGGATATAAGATATATGGAAGTAAAACATCTAGTGTCCCAGCAGCATGTGTTGTATATAGTCCCTAGGGAATTGTGAATGGTAACTTGAATGCACACGGATCTACTGGTCAGGGCACATATAACCTCATTCAGAGTCAGAAAAGAAGACCTTGATGCGTGTATATAAATGAATAGATGTATAAGAAAATATATTTACATTTCTTTCTCGTATCATATGTTATGTATTCTTATCGTAACAGATATTTTGCCCGGATACCTAAAGAAATAGGGGGAATATGTTTAATGAATCGACAATGTCATTTAGAAAGTGGTCAAATGTAAGATATGTTATATATTTTCTGACAAGGTGTAATCCTAAACACATGCAATGTATTATATTCTATTACGCTTATATACACCGTGCGTATATACAGAATGGCGCTTTGTTAATACATATGCATGAAAACAAGTATTATAACAGAATAAGGAATGCATGCTTGACATACTTGTGATACAGTAGAATTCCATCAGCATATAATTTGATGTGTCAAGAAAGTTGGTATCATTGCATGTGGTGACAGCTTTAGCAACGTTAGACACGCAAGTCTCCAACCCACTGCATTCTGAATAATATGGCATGTCCGAGACCGTGCAGACCATTTTACAGTCCTCTGGTGCTACACGACAGCACTTCTCCTCATCTCTGTTACTGGACTCCGCTTCTTCTGGACAATTTGTTGTCCGTTCTTTGACCATTGCAAACACCCCACTGATAGCCATAACATGTGAAGTATTGCAAGAAGGAGTAAGGAAGTCATCAAAGGTGTTTCCAAAACACCCGGTGGCTGTCTGCAGAGGCCATGGAATGCAATCTGGAAATAGCAGAAGAATATATTTACACATATAAATATATATATATATACAGAGAGATAGAATAGAGAGAGAGAGAGAGAGAGAGAGAGAGAGAGAGAGAGAGAGAGAGATTGAGAGAGAGAGGGAGGGAGAATTAAGGGAAGGTAAGAATTAAACCCATGTACTTACGCAAATTCTGTAAGCACAAAAGAATCGCAATCACAACGACCAGCATGTCTAACGGTTATAGTAGACGTTCTGATTGTCTGTGCGTAACGACTTGGAGTGATTATCAAGAAATGAGATCGTAACGTATGACACGAGTTTCTTGTTACGGTAGGTGAGTAGAGAGTCCTTCGTATACGAACGCAAACAGGGTGCGCGTCACGGACATCTTGTGTATAGTGAAGCAACATATGGGGAAGGCTCGTCACGGACTTATTTGTAGTGAAGCAGTATGTAGGGGAGGCTCGTCACGGACTTGTTCAAAGTGAAGGAATATACAGGAGAGGCTCGTCACGGACTTGTTTAGAGTGAAGCAATATGTAGGGGAGGCTCGTCACGGACATCTTGTTCAAGTGAGTGAGTGAGTGAGTTAATATTTAACGTCACATCGGCAATATCTCAGCCATATCGTGACGAAAACAATTTATACAATATAAAGAGAGAACATTTTTAAGATTAAAACCTGTCGACGATGGACAGTAAAAATACTAGAGAATCACAGATATGAATACAACTAGCGAACAAAGCTAAAACATTTCAATTAAAGAGGACAATACAGTATAAAACACGGGCTATAGATCGCCAACAACTGATGGTAGATCACCATACTAGGAACCATGGGGACTTACATTACTTTTGCTACCTGCATGGACCCTAGCTGGATTTACACCATCCCGTCAGCCGCTGGCGATTGTAGGAAAACGGACTTGTTTAAAGTGAAGCAATATTTAGGGGAGGCTCGTTACGGATATCTTGTTCAAAGTGAAGCAATATATAGGGGAGGCTCGTCACGGAAATCTTGTTTAAAGTGAAGCAATATATAGGGGAGGTTCGTCACATCATCTTGTTTAAAGTGAAGCAATATATAGGGAGGCTCGTCACGGACATCTTTTGTGAAGCAATATATAGGGAGGCTCGTCACGGAAATCTTGTTCAAAGTGAAGCAATATATAGGGGAGGCTCGTCACGGACATCTTGTTCAAAGTGAAGCAATATATAGGGGAGGCTCGTCACGGAAATCTTGTTCAAAGTGAAGCAATATATAGGGGAGGCTCGTCACGGACATCTTGTTCAAAGTGAAGCAATATATAGGGGAGGCTCGTCACGGACATCTTGTTCAAAGTGAAGCAATATATAGGGGAGGCTCGTCACGGACATCTTGTTCAAAGTGAAGCACTTTATAGGGGGATGCAAGCTACAACCATGTGGAACAGAACAACAATGAATACATGTGAATAATATACTTTCATCTCCTGTGATTTTCTTTTCAAACTTGCTGCGAAAAGAACCGGAATAAATCTGAGAGTCAGTTAATTTTGCATAACGCCATGAAATTCTGCCTAGCAGGCCATATTACCAACCCGACCGAATAGAGGTGGTGAGGTGAGGTGAGGTGAAATTGGGTTTAACGTCGTGCTTGAGAATATTTCGCTCATATGGCGACGTGCATGTGTGTGTATGTGTATGTGCGGCTGCTTGTACTAGCCCAGACTGAAGCTTGTTTTATAGTGCTAGCTCACTGAGATACCATGCCGCAGTGAAGCATGAATATCCCACTCAGACACATTATACTAACTCCGAGCCGACCAGTCCTTGTTGTACCCATTAATGCCGAGCGCCAGGCAGGGACCAACAAGTACCATATTTTAACGTCTTTTGGTATGACGCGGTCCGGGATTGAACCCGCGACCTTCCGCTCTCCGGGCGGACGCTCTAACCACTACACCACGGAGGCGGTCGAATAGAGGTGGAGGTCAGTGAACGGTGTCAAGCATCACGCCCCACAATCCTTGGACTGGATCATGGGGACCAGTAAACGAGTGAATTGCACCCAATCAGTGGTTGAAATTTTGACACACAATTGTTCATTGAGTATGGGATGTGCAGGGTCTTATAATAATTTCCCTCGTTTACACACACACACACACACACACACATATATATATATATATATACATACATACATATGTATATATATATATACTATGTAACTGCAATATTTGAACTGCGCATTTTGTCTTTGATCGTATATCTAATGGGATTTTTATGAAGTGTTTAATATCGAAAACAGGACAAAGTTCGCTTGGTTGTCGAAGAGGGCACAATCACTGTGCAAAAGTATCCACTAGTTTCTTCGGGATGCGGTATCCATAGATTTGAACCATAGAGCTGACGTTATTTTAATTATCGCCGGATCCTTGTACGTGAGGAGCTGGGGAGCTGTGTTGTCAGCGAGGAGCTGTGTTGTCAGCGAGGAGCTGTGTTGTCAGCGAGTATCTGTGTTGTCAGCGAGGAGCTGTGTTGTCAGCGAGGAGCTGTGTTGTCAGCGCCGTCAACCTAAACGCATTCGCTCGCCCACTGTCCATAAATGTCAATGTTTCTCTGCAAGGTCAGGAAACTTACTCACAGATATAAAGTACATGGTTATCCTAAACCATTGTATGCGGTACCTGCTTTCAGATATTCCCCATGTGTTTCGATAATAGTGGAGTTTGTTACCGATCACACAATATGTCCAAGATACAGGGTTTTGCCACTCTGACAGATGAATACCCTAAGATTTCAGGGTGGAACTGCTGCTGGGCAGCTAACACAAGCAATGCCAGGTCATGTATCTCATAGGTTAACTTCTTTGAGTGGCATTGCTTCATGCCCTGCATTGAGGGTATATGGTCGTGTGGCTTTGTCCAGTCGCCTTGCTAGACTTAAACGGGTGGTCTGACCCTTGGCCCTCTGTATGATGTTAACACAATTAAGGAATAGAAAACACGTTTACAAAATGGATATAACAACTGTACATGTGACACTCTCACTCTGAAATTGTCCAATTACCACTTTGAAATTCATGTAATTGTATTCTGCAATGTCAGACGCTTCACCTTGATCAAGAAGATCTAAAAGTAGTGTACATGTGTACCCAGTATATATCTATGAAACAGCAACAGTTTCGTTTTTTAGATGTTTTTCGACAATCTGATGCTTTTGTGACCGCCTAAAGAAAAGAACTCACCCTTAATTAAATATGATGCCAATGGTAGAATGAAATGTATTGAATGATATTGAAGAGCCCACTTTTATGAAAAATCCCACACACAGCTGTTTCTTAAAACAGGTGGTCATGGTGACTTCGGTAGTCCCGTGACTCTTGAAGATCCGGATTAGAATCAATCTTCAGCAACCCATGCTTGTCGTAAGAGGCGACTAACGGGATCGGGCGGTCAGGCCACAGGTCATCGTATCCCAGTTGCATAGATCGATGCTCATGCTGCTGATCACTTGACTGTCTGGTCCACACTCGATTATATTTACAGATCACCGCCATATAGCTGGAATTTTGCTGGGTCCGGAGTTTAATAACAAGCAAACAACCGTACAGTAGGCCTGTGGAGCTGTACACTGCAACATCTCTGCTCTTCGGTGGATAATCAACTCAAGCTGGACGCTATTATGTTTACAAAACACTAGAGAAGCATGAATCTTCAGAAACAGTACTGATATATTTCTCTTGAACATGTCAAGTCCGCCAGTGTCTGCGGCAGAGCATTCGAAGCCATACGCGTACAATAGAGTGTCACTTTTGTTGTAGTTAAAGCAATATTGACTTATAGATGGTATGGACAACTTTTCATGTCCAAAGATCCCCATAACACTTATCGCTGCGTATACTTAGGGGCTCATCATTATAAACACATAACAAAAATTCGTCGAACGTCTCTCGGATAAAATAGTACATGTATTCTGTCAATACAGAGTGTATGTCCTACACAGTCCTACGTTTCAACGAACACTCAAGCACCCATGAGTTGACTCCCCTTAACGAATAAAGAATCGATTTACGTATGATAAGAAACAAATAGCTCGATTCTTTCCCTGAGGTCATGACAAGTCTTCTTTGATGTCAAATCATTAACAGTGTTAGGCTTATAAGCAGTACACAAGAAAGAATCCTGAACTTTGTGTGAAATGGATGGAAGGGTGTTAATAACACTACATATGTAAGAATATTTACATGTACATTTGTAAGAAGAAAACACCTTTAGCCATGTTGACATAATAACGGTAAAATGCTATGAAACAACGCCAATATTTCGACGGCTTTGTCGAGCACCACAGGAACAAATGGGTAACGGACCAGTTCTATTCAATCAATTGAATCAATGTCAGTAGCTACAAATTGTAATATATAAAGAGGTTGACACAATGTTGAAACTTCAACCTTCGGCGCGTGGACGTTGCAAATTAGCAAGCCATGGCATTGTGTAACCGTTATGGTTAGATAAAAGTGTTATTATGAGCACCTTACAGCTAAACACTCATTGTGTGTTATTCACATTAACAAACAACACGTATGGTGTAGCATGCATAATGACGAAGGAATGTGTATTTAAAGTTGCATTACTTCAGAGTAGATCATTTAGTTAACTTTATATGAAGCACAATCAGTACATTTTACTTGCCTATATGACACTATTTGAGAGGCCAATCAAACCCAGGTTACAGAAGAATCAGAGAGTGGTAAAGGCTTGAAACAAAAGTATTCAGGCTCAAATAAGATGATTATATACACCGCGCATTCAATCAGCACACAAAACCTTCTTGTGTAACACGCCCAGGAGAATAGATGCTTCACTCGACACATCGTAATGTTGTAACCGGCGAATACGTAGTATACGCTCTATGTGTTTTGTATATTACGCTATTATAAAATATATGAGTTATATACGCTTCTGGGTACAAAAACGTATTGAAAACAAGTTCCTGTATGGTTTAAATGATTTTCAAATAATCTTATGATATCATTCTATCAACCAAACAATCATCAAATGCTATCATTCTATTAACCACACAACCATCACCGTTCAATGTCGTTCTGACGTTAAAATCACCTTATTAACGAGTCAGAGGTTGTAAGCATCGACTTGTCAATACGCTAGACGTCCTGTCAATTAGAGTTTGCATGTGTTACAATAGATCCGGGAACTCTACGTTAAGCAGCAAGGTGCGGTTAAGTTTGATCCGTTTCAGTGGCTTGCTTGTTGATTGCGTGACGAGGTGTGCGGTATGTGAAAACAGGATCATAAATAGAGGCACCAAGGACAGTTTGCAAGTACTTTCTGGATGTATATTGTATTGTTCGTGATTGTGTGATCCGTTTGGAGGCGGGGATCAATTCCCACTGTGGTTGCAGTTAAATGTTGTACTGTACATGCATGAATACATGTTACCACCTCACGTCGATACTTAAGCGGCCTTCACACGGACAACTAAAGTTTGACAACACATGCTGTTAAAATTTTAGAAACTGTCAAACTCGCGTTTCCACACGTCAAACACATGTTGTCAAACTTTCGTGTCATTTGAGCGGCAAGTCTCTATCGGTGCGGTCACGTGACAAGTTCGTTGACTGCGATTGGTTGTTCCTGAACAAAACGAGTTTGACAACACATCACACGTCAAATCGAGTTTGTGCACACCGAAAGTTTGATGGAAAGGTTGGTGAGAATAGAGACCGATCCTATTTCTCGACAACAGTTTGACAATTGTAATTTTTTTTAAAATTTCACTCATTACTTACGTATTAAATGTGAAAATTAGCAGAACATAACTCCAGCTTCAAAGACAGGTTAACAGTTAGTATTTTGTCAAGTCACCATGGGCAGCAATGCAGGCTTCAATGCGGCGGGGCATACTACTGATCAAAGAAGTTAGAAAGCCGTGGTCCATGCTGTCCCAATATCGGACCAACTCTTCTTTCATTTCAGCAATATTAGTCAGATTTTTGTTATTGACACTTTCCTTCATAAGTCCCCAAACATTTTCTATTGGATTTAAGTCAGGGCTATAGCTTGGCCAATCTAATAATGTCATATTTGGGTCCGAAACCAGGCCTGTGAATGCTTTGAACGATGTTTTGGGTCGTTGTCCTGCTGGAAAATCAAAAAATTTCCATAGAACACGTGAGCAGATGGAAGTAAATGTCCCTCGAGAATATCTGTGTACCGCTCACTGTGCATATTCCCTTCAAATACACAGAGGGGCGTTGCCCCTAACACAGATATGCCCCCCCACACGTTAAATTTCGGACTGTACTTTGGGCGCTGATACAAAGGTGTTTCAGTTTGTTTGGTCCAGAATTTCAGTGTATTAGGAAACAGCCACACAGAACTTTCATCTGAGAAAATCACATTGTCCCAGTTATAATTTCTATGCTGTAAGCACCAGTTCAACCTTCGCTCCTTTTGTTCAGGTTTCATGATCGGTGATGGAATTCCTCGACTTTTCTGCCAACCCATTGCATGCAGCTCAGTTCTAATTGTCTCCTTACAGACAGCCACAGTTCCTCTATCAATCATATCCAGCCTTAAGTTTTCTAAACTCCTTCGTTTGTTTTTAGAAACAAGAATACCAAGCCGCCTCCTGTCACCGACAGTCAATTTTCTGGGCCTACCTGCGCCTCCCTGGTGCTCAATGCCATATCCATTTGCAATATTTTTCAAAACACGATAAACAGTGGACAAAGGGATGCCTGTTCTACTTGAAATCACTTTAGCTGATCTGATGTCTTTGTTATAATACTCTAAAATTAACGTCCTCTTCTCTAAATCATCCATACTGAGGATCTCTGAAAATGTCGTCTGCTAGCAAGTAAACAAAGGGGGATAACTCTTCACAAACTAATGATAAAGGATTAACGGAGTTGTTTCTATTGAATGAAACCAAGCACTTGATAGCAGGTCAAGGTTGTTTATACTAGAAATCCAATTAAACATATTCCTAAAATTCTCAAATATTTCTGGTCATACTATTGGACCCCAACCCCACAAACACCCCACACCCACAACCCACAACCCACAACCCCACAACCCCTCTCCAATGAAAAATATTGAAGGGGATGACAACCATTATTGGCATGAGTATATATTGTTACTCAAGGAAGTAATTTAATGTTGCAGATTAAAAAATATTCAATAAATAAATGATCTTTTGAACATTCAAGCAACCAATGTTGAGGATTTAAGTATGGGAGTAAGGTTATTAGGTAATTGATATCCTGATTTGTCTGTAACAGATAACAGCGCTTCAAGATGTGTACACAAAGAAGGTTGTCGACGCATACTAGTAGTTAACTTTTTACCTGCTGGTCACCAAACCCATCGGATCTCTTGGTGATGGGCTTGACTTTTGTCTGAAAATCAGTACGGTTTACAATAAATGAAAGCAATTCTTTCACCACGTTTGCAAGTATACATCGTGACTATACCAGTTACATATTTGGACAGGTATATCGTATTGCTGTGAGTGAAAAGGGAAAGTGATACCAATTAGGATATATTTATAGAAGAAAGAGTAATTAGATACAGGTGCTACAGGTGCTACGTTCCTTACATATCATTGGCCATATGTGTGCAGAAATGATAATGGAATAATTTGTTTGTTGAAAACAGGCTGCCGTATTGGGTAAATGATTGCTGTGAAGCTGACATCACGGAGATACATGGCAGTAGCACAAATGGCCAGGTGTTTAAGTTTAAGTTAAAGTTGCTACTTACCTCAATAAAATAATGAGTGTGGTAGCAATCATGTTATCCATTTACTTCCGTTTTCAGTTCACATATTTGACTGACTGACTGACTGAGTATGGTTTTACGCCGTTTTTAGCAACATTCCAGCAATATCACTGCGGGGGACACCAGAAATGGGCTTCACAAATTTTACCCATGTGGAGAATCGAACCCGGGCCTTCGGCGTGACGAACGAACGCGTTAACCACTAGGCTACCCTACCGCCCCCCACATATTTGAAATAGAGGGTACGGTTTGAGATGGTCTTGAAGATCTTTGAAAATTATATGAGACATCAAAAACATAATTATGTTGACTTCAAAGGCCTGATGCTGAATTGCCTTACCTTATTAGACTGCTTTAAGGCCTTCAGACATTTGACGAGGAACCCACACACTATGACAGTGACGAACATAGCTACGGCAACACCTAGACCAATCGTAGCATACTTATATTTGTCTGAAATTAGAAGAATAATTATTTAAAATGTTTGAAACAAATTGAAGATAAATGTCCATGTTAATGTGTGTGTTGCCTTTGGTATGAAATGTACATGCATAGCACCTACTAATCTCACGTTCTGAATCAATTGATGAACTGGCTGATAGAATATGACCACAAGACTAGAAGGCATCTAATAAAATAATTGTATTGAGTTTACAGTTCCAGAATTCTATAACTGTCAAATAATATGGGCATTTCTTCCCAGGAGAAAACACATCAACCACCTTCTCTTCGTAGTAGAAAATGAGCTATGAATCTAGTTCTTACTTAATTCTGACATGACGGGATCCTCTGTGACAGTAGCAGGCCCTTTAGAATGATCAGTACTGTTATCTGTACACTTGTCAACAGTTGGAGGGGTAGATGCTGCGTCATTTCCACACGTCATTTCCACAGTTGCACCATTTGCTTCAGCTGAAATGAAAGTATGGAACGAAGTAATTTAAATTACCAACTGTAGCCATACGTCTTCATGTAAATTATAATGGAAATATTATTGAAAATCCACTTTGTAGTGAAAGCAATGTCAGAAAGGAAATGACCACCTATTCCGCGGAGTATACTTTCTTCAGAATAAGCATGTTAGGTATTATATCTGATGTACTTTCGTAACTAATAATGTTTATGCATTCTATATGTAATGTAAAAACAAAACTGATATACGACTACCAAAATATTAATAAATTCTAATTAGTTTCGGACAAAACCGGCAATGTGTTGACTGCGTCGAACTTTGGAGCGAAACAAACCCGTGTACTCTGATATTTGAAAGGGATCGCTATATGTCTGAAACAATACCTATACAAAACTAACCTCACTTCTACTCAACACACACAAAGATAATAACACAACATACACTTTATTTCAAGCCAGTAGCGTCCAGTATTTCCACTGTTGTTATTCAAGAAGGTGATCACCAGAAAATGAGATTTGCTCTTGAAGGCCTCAGTTATCTTAAAGGTGTCCCCGTTGTTGCTGCCGCAATCTATTTGCATTTCTTCATCGTTGTCTTTAATGTTGAGACGCTGCTGACACGATCCACTGCTATCGTTCTGAAGATCCAAGATCCACGTGGATTGCGGTGATGGCGACAGGATGCGGCTACGGAACAGCTTACCTCAGTACCAGCTGGGATACCAGCAGGATAATCCTTGCTTTTGAGATACACCGACGTGCCGGAGACACTTGCATCTTCCACTCCCTCCAACGTCAGAGATCCTACCAAATATGATATCATTTTATATAATTTGATATCAACAGAGAAGATGAGTACACGTGTTGTCTATGTCGACACAAAACGAAAGTGGTTAATGAACCTTAACTAGAAATCAGAACAGAGTTGACATCAATTGACATCAATTGAACTCGAACTCGGACCTCGTTTTTATCCTTTTAAAACCAAGATAAGCCTTAAATTAGTTTAAAACGTATGACCATGTTGCCAAATAGTACAAATACACGATTACGCGTGTCATACTGTTTCAGCATGTCCGGGTATAGTAACTAAGTTTCATACCATTGATTATGTGATAATATACGTTGGTACTCGTGAAGATCCGGGTTAGAACTGGTCGTCAGTAACCCATCGTTACAGTCGTAAGGGTGGTTATTATGTTCAGGCTTGTTGACTTGGTTGACACATGTCATCTTATCCCAGATAGATACTCGTTATGTCAACCCCTGGATTGCATGGCCCAAACTCGATTATTTACAGACCGGCGTCATATAGCTGGAATATTGCTGAGTGCGGCGTTAAACAACGGACAAACATATATATACTTATATATACGTACGTACGCACGCACGCACGCACGCACGCACACGCACGCACACACACACACACACACACATACATACATACATACATACATACATACATACATACATGTAGAGGAAGGTCACGAACAGTCACTCCTAGAACGAGGGGAGATCACATTGAGCTCTTTAAAATGACCATTTTTGCATAATTATATATTTTGGTTGACCATAACGGGCGATCTTTCTCTATTTATCTTCCCGTCATTAAACCCTGACGTGCGCTGACCCGGATTGTCCAATCTTAAACTGATAGCGCATCTGGATTGCACGAGACGAGCCGTCCGTGTAACTATCACATGTACATACAGTTAACCAGTACCACAATCAACCTTGCAGGCAACATTCAGGCTGGTGTACAGACAGGGTATCTTTTATTTCATCTATGCGATATGAGTTACTAGGGACTCAATGTGCCTCGTTTTCAGACGTAGGAAATCCTGTGATAAGCTACCGTTTTTCATGTCGTTTTTTCTTCAACCTGACTAAATCCCCTTCAAAGACTTCAGTCGTGTTTTAATTGAACACGAAAAACCTATACCTATAAGGCTGACAGATCATGGTGGAGTTGGAATAATAAACTGAGTTACATCAAATTAACACAGTCACGCTTGTCGCGAAGCACGCGTACACACCATGATGATGATAATATAACTGAGGGTACTTATACCGCGCAATACTCTACACCACAAAAGGGCGTGCTCAAAGCGCGCACAAACATCACAACATTATTACCCCTGTTAACCCAAGCTGCCTTTTAGGCGCTAGAAGCTTAAGGTTATAGTCACATGACTTATCCCACCGGGTACCCATTCTCTGCTGGATGAACAGAGGCAATTTTGAACAAACTAACTTGCCTAAGGTGAGACCACATGTATCACATGTGTTTCGTTGTGGGGCAGGACTGAAGTACTGGAGACTCTCAGGAGTCAAGCTGCCAAACACGGTTACCCACCCCAAAAGGACTCTCTGAGCTCAATGCTGCTTAACTTCAACTGAATTGTGACCTGAGCCCTATGCACAGGACCACCATTTGAGTTTAAATGTAGAAATCTTCTACGAAGTTCTACCTCCGTAATGACGAAGACATATTGAATATTAAAAGTAAGAAGAGGTTAAGATGGTACGTACTTGGTATACAGAGATATTCCATCATCATGTAGTTGGATCTTAAGAAGTATCCAACATCGTTACAACCCTGGGTCAGCTGTGTAGCTACCTTCATCTTGCACGTGTAAACTCCCGTGCAATCTTCATAGAAGGACATTTCTGAAGCCAGATACAACAGCTTACAGTCTCTGGAGTCGTAGGTACAACACTTTGCTTCATCCCTGTTTGTTTCTGTTGCAGCCTCAGGACACCCGGTGTCTTCCTTCTTCACCATAGCATAAACACCAGCCACTGCAATGATAGTCTGGTTTGCACATGCAGGGATAAGAAAATCACCATGTGTGTTCCCATGGCAACCTGTACTGACTTGAGCCGGAACCGATAATCCTGCTGGAAACAAAATTTTTAGATCATGCATTCATAAGTTTAAGATTATAAAATCTCAAAAATATGCCAAGAACGTTATATTTCAATTTTACATGGGATATATCAAAAACAGATTTAATATTAAGTTGATTTTCGTACACTTACCAGTTTTAGCTGCATGTTGTGGTAGAAATAATATGGAAAACCATAATGCATATTGGCACATTAGGGTATGCATTGTTACATGAGTTTCTTTTCTCCTTCTAGTAAGTAAACGTAAGCATTTATGCATGCCACTTGGACAGTTATTTTGCTAAGAGCTCATAGACGTTTCATTAACGTACTCTATACACCCAAAACGTCCTGGTTGAAAACAACCAATGAGCTGAGCCAAGAACGTTTTCTGGGTATTCTGGGCCACAGTAATTACTAAGAATTGAGCTAATCGGGTCATTTAACAATTACGCTTCGTGTGATCTATTCAAGAAGGTCAGTTGAATGATTCACGCTTTGCAGGACATAAAACAGAAGGTCTGAGTGTCACAAGATATGCAATTTTGTTTTATTTTCTCGCCATGGGTAGCGCATAATCATCACACGGAAGTATGCATGCTAAATGGTAGAGCCGTTAAAATGGTATAATATTGTGTGACACTAATGTGAAATGGTATACGTTCTATTTACAATTGCTGCCACATGGCACTTGTTGCAAAAAAGGATTTTAAAAGCACCAGATGATATACCCGGGTTCGATTCCCGACATGGGTACAATGTGTGAAGCCCATTTCTGGTGTACCCTACCGTTGTATTGTTGGTGCATTGCTAAAAAGAGGCTTAAGATATAAGTCAGTCACTTACTCTAGGCAAAGAGACCAACATATTAAACCTTACGTAAGTTACGCATGTCATGTATTCCGGTATTCCATGTACCTGGCTTAGTGTATAGTGAACAACTTAAAGCACACTTTATGTCAAGGGTAATCAAATAGATCACGCCAAGCTCCAGTAGTTCTATATTCTGATGTGTCAGAAAAGTAGGGGACAGGTGCCTTGAGGTATACTCCAGTAGATACCCCCCCTGGGTTGCGTCAAATTACCTTCAACTGGTCAATAATCTTGTGCTCAAAGTGCAGAATGACACGCGATATTTCGGCATTGATTTCGTTACAGACAGCTTGAATGTTCAGCAAAACATAACGCAGTGATATGCTAGTTACATTTGTGCAATGTATTTCAATTTCAAACTGTTGTATCGGTTCGATTGAGTTAACACCACTCTCTGTGCAGGCTTAACACAGTTACCAAATAGACAACACAGACCACTCTCAACTGTCAAATGGTAGACATAAAACAACATCTGTCCGTCCCTATTACCCCACTTGGGCAGCTATTCAGCGCATTGACTATGCTTCTAAAAAAATGTTTATATTATGTAGGGAACAGCCCACAGTTAATCACGACTTTCCGATTGAATAACGCGGATTCGTCACTCATATAACAAATGTGACAGACAGATAATTTATTCAAGTCTCACCTCAATTTATACATAAAATACATATGGTACAAAAACATAAAATCTTATGTATACACACACACACACACACACACACACACACACACACACATATATATATATATATAAAAGTGAACCACCCAAAATGGGTTATGAGAGACTATAAAATGATAAATTGTATAAAATTATACATCAAATCAAATAAATGAAATACACAATACAAATATGATGAATACTGATATATTAGTTGTCAAACAATAAAGCTTAGCAATCCTAAGGGTGGTGTTGAACATGGATCCCGTCAGAGATCACTAAGACCTTGAAGGTAATTCGATTTTGTTTACCTCTTAGATATTAAACAGTACATTGCTTAAAACCTGTTAGTCCGAAAATATCGTCTTCCCGACATGCTTGTCTGGAAAATCAACATAGCTCAACAACCGTTCCTTGTCTGGGAAATCAACATAGCTCATATTCCTTGTCTGGGAAATCAACATAGCTGAACAATAAGTGTTCCTTGTCTGTGAAATCAACATAGCTCAACAACCGTTCCTTGTCTGGCAAATCAACATAGCTCAGCAATTGTTCTTTGTCTGGCAAATCAACACAGATAGCTTAACAATTGGTAGAACAAACAAACCAGAAAACAATAAGACGTAACAGTTCCGTCTATCTAGTTGCAAGTTAGTTACAGACAACCCTCATGACGACCTACGAGGAACCCACACATGTGATCCGGTGTTTTACGTCATATGTCAAAGCTATTCATATTTTGCTCATCTTCAACCTCCTAGACAGGATCAACCGGCGCAGATGTTTCCTCTTCTTGTTTACGTTTCTTGTGTTTTCTTTTCGTTTTCTTTTGCCCGGTTGTATTGTCCAGTGAGTCAACATGATCTAGAACATTCTCACCAGATGGACGATGCGACACAGGTGAAGTTTCCGCTATTGTTTTATTCTTTAATATGTTCTCGCTTCTACTTTTCTTAAGTTTCCTCTTTTTCCTCTTCTTCGTCTTTTTCTTCGCAGCCTCTTCTTCCATTACACGGCTCGAATCGAGTGGTGTTACATCTGCATACATCCCCAGCTCTTCAACTTGCTGAGATAAACATTCTGTATCAGGGTTGATATTGGGAGGTGTATCTCGTAGGATTCTTAATGTCGGCAGTGTTCCTGTTCGTGGGGTAAATGTAGATGCAGATGCTGAAGAAATAGTTTGACTGCTATGTCCAAGAGGCTGTATCAGACTCTCGGTGTTCAAGGTGTTCAGTAGTCCTCGTGAAGGTACTGCTCCTTGTAATGGCGGAAGTTGTGTTACCCGATTACCTCCGCCAACATGATTCCGGGGTATCTGCAACTGTTGTGTCACGAGGGGTGGAATCTGTGTTTTAGGCAAAAATCGTTTCCCTGAAAAAGATTCGTCGATTCTGAGACATCATTTTGCCCCTGAGATCCCTCTTGTACACCGTCGTCAACTCCCTCCACGTCTTTCGCTGAAGCAACCTGCAGGAACAATATGGAGAATTCGGGTAATAAAGAAAGATATATTTCCGTAAATGTGCATCACACCAGGTTATCATTATGGGTGATATATTCACATTTTCACATCAACCGTGAGTACTTAATTCGATTTACGGAGTAATGGTGACCCATGCCTTTGCTTGTTTAGTGACGGGTTGGTGTGTAACTAATAGAAGACAGATGACATGTACTCTGAGAAGGAACATCACTAAAACACATTGCATATGATACAGGTTTATGTGCTAGCTTAATGTTGGCTTTAGTGTGTGCAACTAATTTTGCCCCCACGCCGATCTGTTCTTAGTAAATGCCTTTTTAGGCAATATTCTCTACCAAATAGGAAAACACAAGTAACTCCCGTAAATCACTGCATGCCTTAATACGAGTAAGTGAATGAGTGAGTTTAGTTTGACGCCGCACACAGCAATATTCCAGCTGTATGGCGGCGGTCTGTACATAATCGAGTCTGGACCAGACAATCCAGTGATCAACAGCATGAGCATCGATCTGTGCAATTGGGAACCGATGACATGTGTCAACCAAGTCAGCGAGCCTCTTACGACAAGCATAGTCGCCTTTTGTGGCAAGCATGGGTTGCTGAAGACCTATTCTACCCCGGATCTTCATGGGTCCCTTAATACGAACATGAAGCTAGGTGTAACGTCAATAAAGACGTAGTGTATCAATATAGTGTATCCTTTGTATTGGACAAAACTTTAGATTGGACTTTTATCGTTAAAGAACTTTATATATGAATTATTTTGTATACATCAACTATCAGTGGCGAATTGAAGTGATGAACCAGTTCCTGCAGATTGCTCTAGCATATTAACAAAGGTCGCGTTGGTTCCCGTCATACTTTGGTTACCGGTACACTAGCCCGGGTGTGTATTGTGTTACCTTGATAAAGATTTTAGTGCTCACAACCAAGTTTATTTTACTATTATATGCTTTGCCAAAAAATTATTTGTGAAAAAACGATGCTATCACTGTATGACATGAATTAACGGTAAATGGTCTAATCAAAATATGCCGAGAAATATTGCCGTTGTGACTTTAAGCATAATTATGTCCGGATGACAATACTTACTTTGTTGTTGCAAATCTTTCTTCTGAAGATAAAACCGAGGACGATTATGACTCCAATGATACTTCCAAATACCCCTCCGAGTATTGCTGCAGACAAAAAAGATATCCTGGGGTCTTTTTTCAAATAATAGTCTTAGCTGTGGATTGGAATGATAATTTATATCATTCAACCAAATTATGTTCCTGATTGCAATTCGATAGACGCATACTTTATATGTGTTTCCATCAATGAAACATGTCTGCTGATAGGTTGTGTTTTGGAGGATTTCTACCGACACCGTTCTTTAATCAGTCACTGATATGAAACAGAGTAGTAAAAAGTCGGGTTCTAAAACATTGAAAATTGAACTTGAAAGCGCAAATGAGACTATTGACGTAAAGTTCCGAAAGTCTGACGTAACTCTCTGTATGGCGTTCTCTCGAAAACTATCGTAACAGAACAGCATCTAAATATCAGATCAAATATACCAATTTTACTCAAAACTAGTTGGTCAAAAGTAAAAGGGACAATAAGACAAGGATAAAAATCACAAAACTCAAGCCATATATCTTATACAGAATGAACCAGTTCGTGAGATAAGGATGAAAGTTCGTCATTTGCTTAAACCTTAACATTATACTCTAGAACGTTGATGTTTTGTAATAAATTGAAGAATTACCCAAATGTGGTTTGAATACTTGCAAAGATGTTTTTCAGAGTGTTTAACTACGACATATCTATCCAAAACAGATCCGTGAAGTTCCGGGTTAGAATTAATCTTCAGTAACCCATGTCGTAAGAGGCGACAAACGGGATCGGGTTGTCTGGTTGACCCA